GACACTGTTAGTCAGTAGCACTGTTAGTCAGTAGCACTGTTAGTCAGTAGCACTGTTAGTCAGTGACACTGTTAGTCAGTGACACTGTTAGTCAGTGACACTGTTAGTCAGTGACACTGTTAGTCAGTGACACTGTTAGTCAGTGACACTGTTAGTCAGTGACACTGTTAGTCAGTGACACTGTTAGTCAGTGACACTGTTAGTCAGTAGCACTGTTAGTCAGTGACACTGTTAGTCAGTGACACTGTTAGTCAGTGACACTGTTAGTCAGTAGCACTGTTAGTCAGTGACACTGTTAGTCAGTGACACTGTTAGTCAGTGACACTGTTAGTCAGTGACACTGTTAGTCAGTGACACTGTTAGTCAGTGACACTGTTAGTCAGTAGCACTGTTAGTCAGTAGCACTGTTAGTCAGTGACACTGTTAGTCAGTGACACTGTTAGTCAGTGACACTGTTAGTCAGTACACTGTTAGTCAGTAGCACTGTTAGTCAGTGACACTGTTAGTCAGTGACACTGTTAGTCAGTGACACTGTTAGTCAGTGACACTGTTAGTCAGTGACACTGTTAGTCAGTAGCACTGTTAGTCAGTGACACTGTTAGTCAGTGACACTGTTAGTCAGTGACACTGTTAGTCAGTGACACTGTTAGTCAGTAGCACTGTTAGTCAGTGACACTGTTAGTCAGTGACACTGTTAGTCAGTAGCACTGTTAGTCAGTGACACTGTTAGTCAGTGACACTGTTAGTCAGTGACACTGTTAGTCAGTAGCACTGTTAGTCAGTAGCACTGTTAGTCAGTGACAATGTTAGTCAGTGACACTGTTAGTCAGTAGCACTGTTAGTCAGTAGCACTGTTAGTCAGTGACACTGTTAGTCAGTGACACTGTTAGTCAGTGACACTGTTAGTCAGTAGCACTGTTAGTCAGTGACACTGCTAGTCAGTGACACTGTTAGTCAGTGACACTGTTAGTCAGTAGCACTGTTAGTCAGTAGCACTGTTAGTCAGTGACACTGTTAGTCAGTGACAATGTTAGTCAGTGACACTGTTAGTCAGTAGCACTGTTAGTCAGTGACACTGTTAGTCAGTGACACTGTTAGTCAGTGACACTGTTAGTGAGTGACACTGTTAGTCAGTGACACTGTTAGTCAGTGACACTGTTAGTCAGTAGCACTGTTAGTCAGTAGCACTGTTAGTCAGTGACACTGTTAGTCAGTGACACTGTTAGTCAGTAGCGCTGTTAGTCAGTAGCACTGTTAGTCAGTAGCACTGTTAGTCAGTGACACTGTTAGTCAGTAGCACTGTTAGTCAGTAGCACTGTTAGTCAGTGACACAGTTAGTCAGTGACACTGTTAGTCAGTGACACTGTTAGTCAGTAGCACTGTTAGTCAGTGACACTGTTAGTCAGTGACACTGTTAGTCAGTAGCACTGTTAGTCAGTGACACTGTTAGTCAGTAGCACTGTTAGTCAGTAGCACTGTTAGTCAGTGACACAGTTAGTCAGTGACACTGTTAGTCAGTGACACTGTTAGTCAGTAGCACTGTTAGTCAGTGACACAGTTAGTGAGTGACACTGTTAGTCAGTGACACTGTTAGTCAGTAGCACTGTTAGTAGCACTGTTAGTCAGTGACACTGTTAGTCAGTGACACAGTTAGTCAGTAGCACTGTTAGTAGCACTGTTAGTCAGTGACACTGTTAGTCAGTGACACAGTTAGTCAGTAGCACTGTTAGTAGCACTGTTAGTCAGTGACACTGTTAGTCAGTGACACTGTTAGTCAGTAGCACTGTTAGTCAGTGACACTGTTAGTCAGTGACACAGTTAGTGAGTGACACTGTTAGTCAGTGACACTGTTAGTCAGTAGCACTGTTAGTCATTGACACTGTTAGTCAGTGACACTGTTAGTCAGTGACACAGTTAGTGAGTGACACTGTTAGTCAGTGACACTGTTAGTCAGTGACACTGTTAGTCAGTAGCACTGTTAGTCAATGACACTGTTAGTCAGTGACACTGTTAGTCAGTGACACAGTTAGTGAGTGACACTGTTAGTCAGTGACACTGTTAGTCAGTAGCAGTGTTAGTCAGTAGCACTGTTAGTCAGTGACACTGTTAGTCAGTGACACTGTTAGTCAGTAGCACTGTTAGTCAGTAGCACTGTTAGTCAATGACACTGTTAGTCAGTGACACTGTTAGTCAGTGACACAGTTAGTGAGTGACACTGTTAGTCAGTGACACTGTTAGTCAGTAGCACTGTTAGTCAGTAGCACTGTTAGTCAGTGACACTGTTAGTCAGTAGCACTGTTAGTCAGTGACACTGTTAGTCAGTGACACTGTTAGTCAGTGACACTGTTAATCAGTAGCACTGTTAGTCAGTAGCACTGTTAGTCAGTGACACTGTTAGTCAGTAGCACTGTTAGTCAGTGACACTGTTAGTCAGTAGCACTGTTAGTCAGTGACACTGTTAGTCAGTGACACAGTTAGTGAGTGACACTGTTAGTCAGTGACACTGTTAGTCAGTAGCACTGTTAGTCAGTGACACTGTTAGTCAGTAGCACTGTTAGTCAGTGACACTGTTAGTCAGTGACACAGTTAGTGAGTGACACTGTTAGTCAGTGACACTGTTAGTCAGTAGCACTGTTAGTCAGTAGCACTGTTAGTCAATGACACTGTTAGTCAGTGACACTGTTAGTCAGTGACACAGTTAGTGAGTGACGCTGTTAGTCAGTGACACTGTTAGTCAGTGACGCTGTTAGTCAGTGACACTGTCACTGTTAGTCAGTGACACTGTTAGTCAGTGACGCTGTTAGTCAGTGACGCTGTTAGTCAGTGACACTGTTAGTCAGTCGCACTGTTAGTAGCACTGTTAGTCAGTGACACTGTTAGTCAGTAGCACTGTTAGTCAGTGACACTGTTAGCCAGTAACACTGTTAGTCAGTGACACTGTTAGTCAGTAGCACTGTTAGTCAGTAACACTGTTAGTAGCACTGTTAGTCAGTGACACTGTTAGTCAGTAGCACTGTTAGTCAGTGACACTGTTAGCCAGTAACACTGTGAGTCAGTGACACTGTTAGTCAGTAGCACTGTTAGTCAGGGACACTGTTAGTCAGTGACACTGTTAGTGACTCTGTTAGTCAGTGACACTGTTAGTCAGTAGCACTGTTAGTCAGTGACACTGTTAGTCAGTGACAATGTTAGTCAGGAGCACTGTTAGTCAGTAGCACTGTTAGTCAGTGACACTGTTAGTCAGTGACACTGTTAGTTAGTGACACTGTTAGTCAGTGACACTGTTAGTCAGTGACACTGTTAGTCAGGAGCACTGTTAGTCAGTAGCACTGTTAGTCAGTGACACTATTAGTCAGTGACACTGTTAGTCAGTGACACTGTTAGTCAGTGTCACTGTTAGTCAGTGACACTGTTAGTCAGGAGCACTGTTAGTCAGTAACACTGTTAGTCAGTGACACTGTTAGTCAGTGACACTGTTAGTCAGGAGCACTGTTAGTCAGTGACACTGTTAGTCAGTGACACTGTTAGTCAGTGACACAGTTAGTGAGTGACACTGTTAGTCAGTGACACTGTTAGTCAGTGACACTGTTAGTCAGTAGCACTGTTAGTCAGTGACACTGTTAGTCAGTAGCACTGTTAGTCAGTGACACTGTTATTCAGTGACACTGTTAGTCAGTAACACTGTTAGTCAGTAACACTGTTAGTCAGTGACACTGTTAGTCAGTGACACTGTTAGTCAGTAGCACTGTTAGTCAGTGACACTGTTAGTCAGTGACACTGTTAGTCAGTAGCACTGTTAGTCAGGGACACTGTTAGTCAGTGACACTGTTAGTTAGTGACACTGTTAGTCAGTGACACTGTTAGTCAGGAGCACTGTTAGTCGGTAACACTGTTTGTCAGTGACACTGTTAGTCAGTAGCACTGTTAGTCAGTGACACTGTTAGTCTGTACTACCAGTCGATGTAGGCGTTCGTAACTAGGTTAGGGCTCACGGGGGTGATAATTTTTACATTGAGACCCGGGTTTAAACAGGTACGAGGAAATTAACAAATCATCGTCGATTACATTCGACAAGACAAACCCCAGGGAGGGCGCGCCTTCAATTTCGATCAAATCTCAGTAAAGAAAAACGTTTTAATTCGCACCTGACGATATTGTGGTTGAACCGAACGAGCGCTTTGAAACCCGAATGTTCGATCCCAACAGGGTCTGCTGCACCATTGCCCATCGGGTCTTGAGAACCCGCGGTAGCTCTGGGGGGGGGGGGGGGGGGGGCTCACGTTGTGCCATAGAAGCGAGCTGGAGTCGCCGATATCCCCGCGTTCTAACGCGGTGGAGTCTGTACAGGCCTGGAACCCCCCCCCCCCCCCCATTAGTTTCACAGAACACGTGGTAAACAAAGCACAGCCGATGTGCACTCCACATACAACATCTCAGCAGTTCCTGAAGAAGTGCACACCTGATGAAGGAAGCTTGTGTTCATTTATTGTTATTCTTTTTTTACCTACGTGACGTTACCATCAAAATACATTCGACAGCATCAGTGGTATTATTTTATTATTCTGCTGCTGCTGTGATGGGTGTTTCGTCGTCACAGAGTCGCCCATTGTTGGCATGAGCCTTTAGCCAAATGGGTCCCACGGAAGTGGGGGCCCTCCGTGCATGGTGTCCAGATACAGACCTTGCCGCACTGCTGACTCGACTGCGCCGATGAGTCCCAATGACGATGAAACCAGACCGCGGGTGTCCATCACTCGATCACTGTCTGCCATACAACCGAGTGACATTTTGCTCAAATTTATGTTGATGTTGACCTAAGACGACAGGACCACAGTGCACCTCTTTAGAAAATGTCGATAGTGTTATCCCTTTAATCCCTTGAGATGGAACATTCCATTTGCAAGCGTGTCCAGAGTGTCAAGTGATAACAACCGCCATTCGCCACTAAGTGGCGGTGACGTCACACACACACGCATAATAATCAAGCACGTGGTCCAATGTCGCGAGATTAGAATCAGGACGTTTATTTATGCTGGAGGAATCCGATGAGCTATGAAGCTCTTTTGCAGAGACGTCCGGTAGAGGCGCGGAATCAGCGAATGACAACAACAGCAGTCTCAGTCTGGTGACCAACGACTCGCAAGAAGTGACACAAACAGCCATTGTACCCAACTTGGTTTACCACTTCATTTGGTTTTATTTTCAGAGTCGGGAAGTAAACGTTTTGGTTTGATTGTCGTGCGGCAAACACCGTTTGTGAAGGCTTATAGAAACACAGGGGCCGAGTGTGGATAGGTCTTCTACGAGTGGTCGTGACGTGACATGTCATATCATATCGCAGCCATTCTCTGAAAAATCACGGTGAATTATGACTGAAATTTTGTTTTATGCATCGTGATGGTACTGATCGCGTCATACTAACAAAAAGCCCACGTGTAAATACAAAATATGTCAGAACTGGCCTTCGTTGAATCATAATTATTTAACTGGAACGTGCGCCACGCTGTAAAGATGTTAACTACCTCACCTGGTATGCAGGAGGTCATGGGTTCGATCTCAATCCTGACGCCTGCTGCTGTATATTTGGAGTCTGCATGTCTCTCTACCCATGGTCGCGTGGATTTGTCTCCAGGTCCTCTGGTTTTCCCTCCACATTAAAAAAAATGCGTTTAGAGTATTCGGCTGCTATAAGTGTCCACACGTTGATAAGCCACTTCGTTGAGCTATCGTTTGTGATAGCAAGGTGGCTTCTGAAAAAAACAGCTATACAGCTAAGTGGGCCTTACCTGGTGAAATAAAAAATAGTGAGATAGTGAGTGTGTGACTGTATTCTACGAGCCCCAGCAAGTTGGCACACAGTAGGGGGCACAGGTGGTGCATCTGCCAGCCATCTCAGTCAGTCGACCCATAGCAACTGGGTCTGCCCCGTGACCTCCTTCCAGCAGGCGTTCGGCACCTCACGTGGCCTTAACATGCACATAGCCTGGCACAAGCGCCGTGGTGAATGCCGGTTGTTGTTGTACGAGCCCCAGGTCATGTGTTTGTAGCAATCTCAGACGAGGCAGCGTGAACTCGGTCCAGCCGAGGTGGGTTCCATGCCCTGCTCATGGACACGAGGTCCTCGTCAGCAGAGGCTCTCATCTTTCCGGCAGCGGCACATTGCATTCCAGCGAATTCCACGCGAGGCCACGGACGAGACGGTACGGCACCGATAGCCAAACCGCACTCGCGATTCCTAACGATGATGAAGCCAGTGTAATGCAGTTCTCCCATTATCTTACTGCTGCCATCTAAAAATGGACGCAATTTTGACTTTAAAGTCAGTGATCTAACACAAGGCTGTGTGCGTCCTACGCGCGGAACGGCCATGCAGCGCGAGGCACGACGGGAGGGCTTATCCTGCGATCAGAATCGCGCCTTGGCTTTTGCCGCCTAGAAAATTACCTTCTGCGCGCCGTTTTGTTTTAATCTTTATCCTTGAGTGTCGGTGTCTTTTCCACGGATCAGTGGGCGCCGACGCAAAGGTCACGAGAAACCTGAATGGACTTTCCCGATGCCCCCCTGCCGTGCCTGCTCACAGGGGCTACGCGATTCCTGGCGAACCTTTCCTTCGGTGTGGAAGCGAGAGACCGCTTTCCAGGGAACCCATACAAACAATTACAACGGACGAAATCAAACGCGTGGATTCGTACTGAGCCTCGTACACTCGCGCTACGCATGGCGGTGGAGGTGGGTGGAGCGACGGAGACTCAGCGGAGCTCACTCGGCACAGAGGATGCTCAGGGCCATGAGCAGACAGCAGACGGCCACGTGGGGGCTCTTCCTCTCGCCTGCGCACGAAAAACAAAACAAAGCGGAGGCCCCCCGATTAGTCTCTGCCGGGCGGTGGTGGCTACGCACACGTGACTTCGATCCAGCACTGTGGTGGTGGCGAGCGTTGGTGGATCACCACACAAGTGTCGTGAACCTTCACGTGGGCGTTGAGGAGGTGCCCCTATATCCTGGCTGGCCGGGAGAATGTGGTGCAGCAGAAATGTGGACTCCACCTGTTTCCGCCTGTATGGGACGGAGTGTTTCCCCTCGCACGCGTGGGCTTTCTGCGGGTGCGTCGGCTTCCTCCCATATGTGAACACTCATTAATTGTCCATAACACCTTAACATGTAGAGGACCGCAGAGCTTGATCACCGGGTGAATCGGCTTCCCATGGGGAGCGTTAGTGTCGCGATCAGCGTGCCGCGCTACGAACCCGGCAACCCGAGTTCGATTCCTGCTCACAGCCAACACCGGTGACGATTAATTATTATCTGAATGGGTCCTGGGCTTCCCCTAGGTCGAATCAGCCTCAAATGAGACCTTGTGCGGTTTGTAAACATCGCCACTGGGGAGACAAAGGCGGCCGGGCGTGGTGCTTGCCACCCACCCCCTTCGTGTGCCGGCCTTCATGGGTGCTATACCCGCTAACAGCACTTGCCCCGACGGTCTGTTCAGGCTCGACAGCGGACAAAGCTCTCGCCTTCACCAACGCGCGTGCACACACGGACACACACGGACATACACATGGACACACACACAGACACACACACACGGATACACACAGACACACACACACGGGCACACTCGGACACGGACACACAGGCACGCGCCGGCGTTTCCGTGAATCGTGAAAAATATCTCAACTTGCTCCAACAAAAACAAATTACCGTGGCTTTTATTCGAGCACATTGCGTGACCTTCTGTATTCCAAAACAGAATTGTTTCGATTTTATTTCCTCTGCGAACTCTCCAGCGAGGTGGCTCAGCGGCCTGGGCCACTTGTGAAAATAATTCCCGGTTTTTTCCAAATTCCTTTTAACAACCGCCTCTATCGGTGGTCGTTGTGTTTTTGCTGTTGTTAATTTGTGCTGTGGAATTGTCTCGTTTTATGAACATCACACGCGCAAACAACTTCATGACGTGGCGCACGGTGACGAAAATGTTCTCACCAATTCTTGCACACTTCCAGAAGGTTCCCAGAAGCCTGGAGACAAGCAGAGAGGCACGTGGTCAACTTAAGTCGATAGGTAACGATACCAATGCAGTGTGTAACATTCTATATCATAACATCACAAGTGTGCATCTGTCAATCCATCTGACTTGCGCTGTATATATGTTAATATGCAGTATGCATGTATGAGTACCGTATATGTGATTGTGTGCCTTAGTTTATGGCTATGCACGTGTAAGCCGTAGTGGGGAGTGGTAGTGTATTTGTTAGCGCTTGCGCTATGAACCCGGCGACCTGAGTTCGAATCGCGCTCACGGAACAACACCGATGACGATTATCTGAACCGGTCCTGGGCCTCCCCTAAGTCGACTCAGCCTCAAATGAGTACCTGGTGCGATATGTAAACAGTGTTGCCACTAGGGAGACAAAGGTGGCCGGGTTTGGTGTTGGCCACCTCCCACCCCCTCGTGTGCCGTGCCGGCCTCTACAGGTGTGCTACTCGCTAACAGCACTTGCCCCAGCAGTCTGTTACAGGCTGCACGGGGGATCTTTGAGTGTGTAGGGCAGTGGTTCTTCACCTTGTTGGAGGTACTGAACCCCACCAGTTTCATATGCGCATTCACCGAACCTTTCTTAATTGGAAAAATAAAATATGATTTTTTCAAATTCAAAACATAGGTATATGTTTTACTGGTGCACAAAATGAACCGTGCATCAACATCACTGTTCAAAGAACAAAACCAGCAAAACATGATTTTCACACACAAAAAAAACATAATAATTTATACTTACTGCAAATCAGTTGCCTTCTGCTGTTGCCTTTCAGAGACCAGTTCAGAAATGCGCGGCTTCACCTTGGCAAGTGCCATTCTCATGTCATTTTCGCAACAAAGTCTGTTCCTTTTCTTCGTTTTTATGTCCAGCATCCTCGAAAAGATTTGCTCGCAAAGATATGTTGTAACAAACGGTATGAAAATCTCCAGGGCTTTCTTAGCAATAACAGGGTACGTTACCATTTGTTGACACCAAAACGTTGAGAGCGTTGTTGTTCTGAAGAGTTGCTGTTGAACCTGGCTCTGCTGAATTTCAATGATTTCGTCGAGGTATTCATCATTGACATCTGCTGTCTCAACACTAAACGTGAACGGCTGTCTCACCCATGCTGGATATGACTCTCTTGTAGGGAAGTATCCGTCGAGAGACTTTGCAAGCTCATCTAAGTGCGTGGCAATTGCTTGTTTCAGTTCCGCGGGTACAGAAATGTCTCCGATTCCAGATACATCTTCGATCTTACTTACATAGTCGTCCAGCAGGGGAAAGTTTGCGAAGTTATCGTTCTCTGTTCGTCGTTTCCATAACGGTAGCTTTTTTTGAAAAGCCTTCAGATTTTCTTCCGCTTCAATGATGTTGACTCCACCGCCCTGCATCTGCTGATTGAGATGATTGAGAGCTGCGAAGATATCAGCCATGTAAGCTAAAATGAGAATGAACTGAGAATTTTTGAAGCAATCTGCATGATAATGTTGGTGCTCTTGAAAAAACAGGGCTAATTCCACACGCGTGGCAAAAACACGATTCAGCACCTGTCCCTGGGATAACCACCGAACGTTAGAATGGTACAGAAGTACCTCGAATTCAGAGCCCATTTCTTTACACAGCTCACTGAAGATGCGGTGCCTCAGAGCACTATTTCGCACATAGTTCACGCATTCCACTACAATTTTTAATACTTCTGTCAGTTTTGGAGGCAAGGGTTTTGTTGCCAACGCATGCCTGTGCAGAATACAATGCGTAACAATGATGTGTGGTGCATCGGCTTTCACTAGCGCACCAAAACCAGACTTTCTTCCCAGCATGACTGGAGCTCCGTCCGAACAAACTGCAGAAACCATATCCCACGAAAGATTGTTGTCTTTGAAGAAGTCATCCACAAGTTTCTTCACATCGGCTGCCTTAGTTGATGTTACAAGAGGCTTACAAAATAAAACATCTTCCTTCATCACGTCGTCTTTCACATAGCGCACGAATACAGCAAGCTGCCTGAGATTGGAAACGTCTGTGGTCTCGTCGAGTTGCAGGTTGAATTTTGCCGGGCTTGAAATCAGATCTGCAACTACTTGAGCCAAGATGTATTTGCTCATGTCCTCTATTCTGTCGCTGATGGTGTCATTTGAAAGAGGAATTTGGGATAACTTAACTTCAGCCGCTTTTCCCAGCATGATATTCGCCATCTTCGACACAGCTGGTTTTATGAGTGTTTCACCAATGGCGTGTGGTTTGCCCTGCTTTGCGATCAGGTAAGCAACTTCGTACGATGCTGTGAGGATCGGTTTGTTGATGGGTACAAAGCCGAGAACAGGCAGAGTAGCATTTTCATCGAATCTGGCTGTCTTCACCATGCAGCTTAAGGAAGTGTTCCCTTAGTTTTGCCGGTGCTAGACTAGAATTGCTCAACTTGACATTGCAAATCATGCAGTTAGGACGCTGACTCCCATCACGTTCCGTTATACATGTGAATCCATTTTGTACATATTCGTCCGACCACTTTCTTTTTTTGCTCGACATAGTTAGTATGAAGGGATTAAAATATTAAGAAAGAAATCACACGACGTACCATCACGACAGTCACAAGTCGACTACCGAGCGCACGACATTCCCTGCAGCACAGAGAGGCCAAGCGATGTAGCGTGATCACTTGCAGCCAATGATGGCCAAGCCGGACGTGTCATCACGAATCATATGAGTCGGGTGTGCGTCTTAACCTCCGCCGAACCCCTGAGACTGACTCACCGAACCCCTGGGGTTCGGTCGAACCCAGGTGAAGAACCACTGGTGTAGGGGTTAGTGAGCTGCGTTACGAACCCGGCGACCCGAGTTCAATTCCCACTCATCCACACACACCTCGCTGCCATCGTGCTTGTCCCCCCACAGAAGCTGTGTATACAGCGTGTGTGTGACTTTACAGTGTGTGTGTGTGTCACTTCACCCAGTGTGTGTGTCACTTCACACAGTGTGTGTGTCACTTCACACAGTGTGTGTGAGTGTCACTACACAGTGTGTGTGTGTGTCACTACACCCAGTGTGTGTGTGTCACTACACAGTGTGTGTGTGTGTGTCACTACACCCAGTGTGTGTGTGTGTCACTACACCCAGTGTGTGTGTGTGTCACTACACCCTGTGTGTGTGTGTCACTACCCCCAGTGTGTGTGTGTCACTTTACACAGTGTGTGTGAGTGTCACTACACAGTGTGTGTCACTACACCCAGTGTGTGTGTGTCACTTCACCCAGTGTGTGTGTGTGTGTCTACACCCAGTGTGTGTGTGTGACACTTCACACAGTGTGTGTGTGTCACTACACCCAGTGTGTGTGTGTGTGTCTACACCCAGAGTGTGTGTGTGTGTCACTACACCCAGTGTGTGTGTGTCACTTCACCCAGTGTGTGTGTGTGTGCCTACACCCAGTGTGTGTGTGTGACACTTCACACAGTGTGTGTGTGTCACTACACCCAGTGTGTGTGTGTGTGTCTACACCCAGAGTGTGTGTGTGTGTCACTACACCCAGTGTGTGTGTGTGTGTCTACACCCAGTGTGTGTGTGTGACACTTCACACAGTGTGTGTGTCACTACACCCAGTGTGTATGTGTGTGTCACTACACCCAGTGTGTGTGTGTCACTACACCCAGTGTGTGTGTGTGTCACTACACCCAGTGTGTATGTGTGTGTCACTACACCCAGTGTGTGTGTGTCACTACACCCAGTGTGTGTGTGTGTGTCACTACACCCAGTGTGTGTGTGTGTGTCACTTCACCCAGTGTGTGTGTGTGTGTCACTACACCCAGTGTGTGTGTGTGTGTCACTACACCCAGTGTGTGTGTGTGTCACTACACCCAGTGTGTGTGTGTCACTACACCCAGTGTGTGTGTGTGTGTCACTACACCCAGTGTGTGTGTGTCACTTCACCCAGTGTGTGTGTGTGAGTCACTTCACACAGTGTGTGTGTGTGTCACTTCACACAGTGTGTGTGTGTCACTTCACACAGTGTGTGTGTGTGTCACTTCACCCAGTGTGTGTGTGTCACTTCACACAGTGTGTGTGTGTGTCACTTCACCCAGTGTGTGTGTGTCACTACACCCAGTGTGTGTGTGTCACTTCACCCAGTGTGTGTGTGTCTACACCCAGTGTGTGTGTGTGTCACTTCACCCAGTGTGTGTGTGTTACTACACCCAGTGTGTGTGTGTGTCACTTCACCCAGTGTGTGTGTGTCACTACACCCAGTGTGTGTGTGTGTGTCTACACCCAGTGTGTGTGTGTGTCACTACACCCAGTGTGTGTGTGTGTCACTTCACCCAGTGTGTGTGTGTCACTTCACCCAGTGTGTGTGTGTCACTACACCCAGTGTGTGTGTGTCACTTCACCCAGTGTGTGTGTGTGTGTCACTTCACCCAGTGTGTGTGTGTGTGTCACTTCACCCAGTGTGTGTGTGTCACTTCACCCAGTGTGTGTGTGTGTCACTTCACCCAGTGTGTGTGTGTGTCACTACACCCAGTGTGTGTGTGTCACTTCACCCAGTGTGTGTGTGTGTGTCACTTCACCCAGTGTGTGTGTGTCACTTCACCCAGTGTGTGTGTGTCACTTCACCCAGTGTGTGTGTGTCACTTCACCCAGTGTGTGTGTGTCACTTCACCCAGTGTGTGTGTCACTACACCCAGTGTGTGTGTGTGTGTCACTTCACCCAGTGTGTGTGTGTCTACACCCAGTGTGTGTGTGTCACTTCACAGTGTGTGTGTGTGTCACTTCACCAAGTGTGTGTGTGTGTCACTTCACCCAGTGTGTGTGTGTGTGTCACTACACCCAGTGTGTGTGTGTGTCACTTGACCCAGTGTGTGTGTGTCACTACACCCAGTGTGTGTGTGTGTCACTTGACCCAGTGTGTGTGTGTGTCACTACACCCAGTGTGTGTGTGTGTCACTACACACAGTGTGTGTGTGTCACTTCACCCAGTGTGTGTGTGTGTCACTTCACCCAGTGTGTGTGTGTGTCACTTCACCCAGTGTGTGTGTGTCACTTCACCCAGTGTGTGTGTGTGTCACTTCACCCAGTGTGTGTGTGTGTCACTACACCCAGTGTGTGTGTGTCACTTCACCCAGTGTGTGTGTCACTTCACCCAGTGTGTGTGTGTCACTTCACCCAGTGTGTGTGTGTCACTTCACCCAGTGTGTGTGTGTCACTTCACCCAGTGTGTGTGTGTCACTTCACCCAGTGTGTGTGTCACTACACCCAGTGTGTGTGTGTGTCACTTCACCCAGTGTGTGTGTGTCTACACCCAGTGTGTGTGTGTCACTTCACAGTGTGTGTGTGTGTGTGTCACTTCACCCAGTGTGTGTGTGTGTGTCACTACACCCAGTGTGTGTGTGTGTCACTTGACCCAGTGTGTGTGTGTCACTACACCCAGTGTGTGTGTGTGTCACTTGACCCAGTGTGTGTGTGTGTCACTACACCCAGTGTGTGTGTGTGTCACTACACCCAGTGTGCGTGTGTCACTTCACCCAGTGTGTGTGTGTGTCACTTCACACAGTGTGTGCGTGTCACTTCACCCAGTGTGTGTGCGTGTCACTTCACCCAGTGTGTGTGTGTGTCACTTCACACAGTGTGTGCGTGTCACTTCACCCAGTGTGTGTGCGTGTCACTTCACCCAGTGTGTGTGTGTGTCACTTACACTGTGTGTGTCACTTCACACAGTGTGTGCGTGTCACTTCACCCAGTGTGTGTGTGTGTCACTTCACCCAGTGTGTGTGCGTGTCACTTCACCCAGTGTGTGTGTGTGTCACTTCACACAGTGTGTGCGTGTCACTTCACCCAGTGTGTGTGTGTCACTTCACCCAGTGTGTGTGTGTGTCACTTCACCCAGTGTGTGTGTGTCACTTCACACAGTGTGTGTGTGTCACTTCACCCAGTGTGTGTGTGTCACTTCACCCAGTGTGTGTGTGTCACTTCACCCAGTGTGTGTGTGTCACTTCACCCAGTGTGTGTGTCACTACACCCAGTGTGTGTGTGTGTCACTTCACCCAGTGTGTGTGTGTCTACACCCAGTGTGTGTGTGTCACTTCACAGTGTGTGTGTGTGTCACTTCACCAAGTGTGTGTGTGTGTGTTACTTCACCCAGTGTGTGTGTGTGTGTCACTACACCCAGTGTGTGTGTGTGTCACTTGACCCAGTGTGTGTGTGTCACTACACCCAGTGTGTGTGTGTGTGTCACTTGACCCAGTGTGTGTGTGTCACTACACCCAGTGTGTGTGTGTGTCACTACACCCAGTGTGTGTGTGTCACTTCACCCAGTGTGTGTGTGTGTCACTTCACACAGTGTGTGCGTGTCACTTCACCCAGTGTGTGTGCGTGTCACTTCACCCAGTGTGTGTGTGTGTCACTTCACACAGTGTGTGCGTGTCACTTCACCCAGTGTGTGTGTGTGTCACTTACACTGTGTGTGTCACTTCACACAGTGTGTGCGTGTCACTTCACCCAGTGTGTGTGTGTGTCACTTCACCCAGTGTGTGTGCGTGTCACTTCACCCAGTGTGTGTGTGTGTCACTTCACACAGTGTGTGCGTGTCACTTCACCCAGTGTGTGTGTGTGTCACTTCACCCAGTGTGTGTGTGTGTCACTTCACCCAGTGTGTGTGTGTGTCACTTCACACAGTGTGTGTGTGTCACTACACCCAGTGTGTGTCACTTCACACAGTGTGCGTGTGTGTCACTTCACCCAGTGTGTGTCACTTCACACAGTGTGCGTGTGTGTCACTTCACACAGTGTGTGTGTGTCACTTCACCCAGTGTGTGTCACTTCACACAGTGTGCGTGTGTGTCACTTCACCCAGTGTGTGTGTCACTTTACCCAGTGTGTGTGTGTCACTTCACCCAGTGTGTGTGTGTGTCACTTCACCCAGTGTGTGTGTGTGTTACTCCACCCAGTGTGTGTGTGTGTCACTACACCCAGTGTGTGTGTGTCACTTCACCCAGTGTGTGTGTGTGTGACTTTGCTGAGTATATTCGTGTCACCCGATTCAGGACGAACCCGGCGACCCTAGATCGATTCCCGTTCACAGCCAACGCCAGTGACGATTATCTGAATCGGTTCTGGGCGTCCCCTAGGTCAACTTAGCCTCACTGGGGAGACAAAGGCGGCCGGGCGTTGTTCTGGCCACCCACCCCCTCGTGTGCCGTGCCGACCTTCATAGGTGCTCGCTAACAGAACTTACCCGTACATCTGAAGGAGTGTTTGGTGGGAAATTTCACAGGATTGCATTTAGAGCATTTAGAGTATTTGGCTGCTAGAAACGTCCACACAATAAGCCACTTAATTGGACTATCATTTGTGGCCAGGTCACCATGAAATTGCACAGGATTTTTTGAGTTTTGTTTGTTTATCCAAGAAAGCCTCAGCGAGCCCTAAGGCTGATTTTAGGAGGTTCCTGCACTGGCATTTGACCAATGCCATGTCAGAGTCTTTCTGCAGGTGGGATGACACCAGAGAGCGCCCGCAGAGAAACCCCAAAGCACGCTCAGGAATGCGAAATCAAAGCTCCTGAAATTTGTGACTCGAGAAGAAATGTGCTGTCCTCGCCATCTCGTGGCCACTTCACAGGGAGATTCGCAAATCTGCGCGATCCATCACAGCCCTTGCCTCGCAAGCATCGCGTCGCGGGCGTGTGCCACCACGCCCAGCGGCTGGCCTCTGCCAGGTTGCGACCGACCCGCCCGCATCACCACGTAACAGCGGCCTCCGTGTGTGTAGACCCAGCTCCCTCGAGTGCCGCGCCGCGCACAATCGGGGGCCTTGTGAACGCGCGCGCACGCAAGGCCGAGGGGCCGTCGAACGCGGATCTCGCCGCAAGCTCGAATAGGCGCGACCTGGGGACGATGCCTCGTTAAGAGGAGGACAGAGCCGGGTTGTACGCGGGTGAGACGCAGCACGGGGTTTGAATGGAAGCTACTAATTGGAGGCTGAGTCGACCTAGGGGAGGCCCAGGACCGGTTCAGATAATCGTCACCGATGTTGATCGTAAGCGGGAATCGAACTCGGGTCCCCGGGTTCGTAGCGCAGCGCTCTAACCGCTACACTACCGCTTGCCATGTATATTTAGTATATTCCCCTATATCGCAGCATGTTCTCACAACACAAAGTGGTCTGTAACGCGATTGAGTGCACAGAACTACGTCGCGCGAGGAGGAATAAGCAGTCGTGCGGCTGCCGTGGTGTAGCGTCACACAAAGCGGGATGCTGCTGGATGTTTCTAGATGCTACCAACGATCCTCAGTCTTTGTCCGGCCTGCGTACGCATCTCAAGTGTTGTCGCGGACTATGCTTTATCCCCTATGTTATAGATTATGACGCCATTTGTCCATAACACGGTGTTCTTCAGCAACTACCGAATTCTAGTTGAAAGGACACACACACATATATGTGAGTGCGTGTAACTATATATACACTGTGCGCACGGATATAGGTGACTGTATTTAAACACAGATTGCTAAGCACAGGCTCAAAATGTCCAGCGGCCAGCAACAAAGAGCACCACCAAAGTTGTAAAAGAAGACAAGGTTCGCACCTTTCTTGAATTGAGTGAGGCCATCGTAGCAGCTTGGGACCGGAGCATTTTGGAGGCACTCAAGGAAGGTGGAGTGGTCTGTGGTGTCACGTGTCTACATTGAAAACTCACTTCTTTACAACTGCTTCTTTCTGTTTAGTTTGTTGTCCTTCCCCCGCACCTCCGATTACCACGGTTGGATACGTACGGTGTGAAGGAAGTTCCACACACATAGATGTGTGAAGACGCGTGAACTTTGTTCGTATTGCAATGGTGCGTTTGCCACTAAACACTCCTTAAAATGGAATTGGCCTAACAACCCAATGCAAGTCTTGAGACTTGGTGAGGATTTCCTGAATAAACAAGATCATATGCTTTAGACGAAGACTTCCACGATGAAAATTACAATCCATAATGTGTTTCTTTTGAGCACCATGTCGGCATAATGCCAATTGTTTAAACTCTAACCCTCCGCCATCCGACAGAGCCAATTAAATCAAGTTGTCACGTCATGGCCAAACATGCCAACCGATTTGGCTATTCAGCAAAACCGTAGGAATTTTGAAAAGCACGTTTACTCTGTCAATTTTGTACAGAATAAACTTAATTATGAATCAGATTATGACGTTTGTATTATTGTTGTTACTGTTCTTGTTGTTGGCATCAGCCAGTCACCTCAGTCAGTCAACCCATAGCACCTGGGTCCATCCCGTAAACCTCCTGCCAGCGGGCGTTCGACACTTCACGTGGCCTTAAAGTGCACATAGCCTGGCACATGCGTCGTGGTGACACCACCAACCACTTCATGGCGGTTGTTGTTGTTGTTGTTGATGAGCGTGTGTGTGCGTGCGCTCGGCTACGCACCCGGTCTTGTGTTGGTCGAGCAGCGAGGGCGCCAGCGAGCGCACGTACGCGCACGTGCACACGAGCAGCAGCAGGACCGTGAGCAGCGACTGGAAGTTGAAGATCGCCGACTGCGCGCGCGGCACAATGGGCACAAAGTCGCCGTGACGACGGTGCCAGGCGTGGTCCACACTGAGACCACGTGCCAGAGACCCAAGTCCCCCGCCCCCCCCCACCCGCCCTGTATGGACTTGTTACGGGTAGGAACCCACTGGTTCCACCAGCCCACAGGGGATTATTGTGTCCGCCCGTCCGTCGTGCAGGGAGGGGCTGGGTGGGGAGGGAGGGGCTGGGTGGGGAGGGGCTGGGTGGGGAGGGTGGGGCTGGATGGGGAGGGGAGGGTGGGGAGGGGCTGGGTGGGGAGGGTGGGGAGGGGCTGGGTGGGGAGGGTGGGGCTGGGTGGGGGGTGGGAGGGGTGGGGCTGGGTGGGGAGGGGCTGGTCACCCCGTGGTGCCCTTATAAAACTCAACGTTTAACCTACTCACGCCGGCTTGTGCCCGCCCTCACAGTCGGCCATATTTGCGGAATACACCACGTCGCCGTTGACCCTGGCCATTGACCGAGCAACCCAACGTTCCTACCAGCTCCCTCCGCAGGAATGTGTAACCACTCGCTTTTTTGCCCGCCCAAGGACGGGTGTGTGTATTGCAGTAGATCTGAAATATTCAAGAGAAAAATTGTTCAGCTCATGATTATTAATAAGGGGGGGGGGGGGGTGCCCCATGTGGAGTGACGTCACGCGCGGGACACACAGACATTCTTGGCTCATTATATTAGGAATTAAACTTTTTTATTTTACAAGGTAAGGCCCACTGAGCTATGTAGCTCTTTTTCAGAACCGACCTGGCTATCACAGATGATAGCTCAATGACTCGGCTTATCGTGTGGAAATGTACAGCAGCCAAAGACTCTCCACACGTGTTCATTAACGGACAGATCTAGGTGTTGAAGATGAAATGTCGGAGGTTCATTCACAGGCCAATGGACAGATCCATATTGTAATGATGGAGTGGTTAAGCCGCGCCGACGGGAGGTCATGGGACAGACGCACGCGTGTTTTGGTGGAGTTGTGAAGTCCCAATCGCAGGTGGTCATGGGCCGAATCCAGATGATGCGGATCAACAGGCTACTGAAGTGCCCTGGTGTTTTTTGGCAGTTGCGCGAGAGGTAAAAGTTGGGAGTAAAAAAAAACTCGGTGACTCCAAAACACCACAAAAAAACAACATACCAAGAAAAAAAACCAACCAAGTTTCAACACTCAATTAGGAGCGCTCTCTTGACCCAACACACACACACACGACTCCACACACACAAAACACCAGCCCTGGGTAACGCGATCCACGTTGGTGGCGCAAGAGAGAAGAGCGGTCGGTGGCGGTGGTGGTGTGATGGGAGCGGGGCTACAAATTAGGCACCCACCCCCAATCCACCCCCCCAATCCCCCCCCCCAATCCACCCCCCACCCCACAGAAGCCTCAAGCCCCGTGCGCGAACAGCGGCCGTCCACTCAGCAGCACCGCCTCCGCCACGCCGCGATTGCGCATTCGTCGTGACCCGTGTCCCAGCCGGCGTAATTATAACCGCGCGATCCTGCCAGTCTCCCCGCTGCCTCTGCCTCGCCACTTACATTCGTGGCCCAGCAGCTCCCGTGCGAAGGTGACACGGGGAGCTCGCGAGGCAACGCGCGCACACACACCGACACGCAAGCGACACCAGCAGCAGCAGCAGCGGCAGCGGCAATAAAAGCCCCTCGACTGCGGCGACGGTGCTGCGCTGTGGCGGCTCACCATGGCTGTCTGCGGGCTGGTTGGTGCTGGGCGCGTGCCCGGCCAGCAGCGTGGGGAGCCGGGTATGGGAGGAGCCGGGATTTTCCGTGGCGGTCGATGTGCACGCGTGCGCGCGCGTCATGCAAGGCGTTTATATTTAGTAGACACAGACACATGTCACGTCACGTGTATTCCAACATCAAAACTGTTCCTTGTATATGAACACGAGCTGCCTGCTCGGAAATTTGATATGAATTGCAAGGACGAATAATAATAATAAAATGAAGTGATTTATTTATAGACGAGAGAGCCTTGGGTGAGTCTCAGAAGTTTTTTTTAAAGAGGCCACTACGGTACGATGTTTGGCTAATTATTTTGTTGGTATGGCATGTGGGAGGAAACCAGAGTACCCAGAGAGAGCCCACGTATACGTACGAACCCACTTGCTGTACTGCCATCTCCTGGCCACCTCACAGCCCTGTGCCTCTGGGGTTTTCACAAATCCTCGCGACCCTCTGACCGTTGCCTCCAAAGCACCGAACTACAGGGGCGCACACTCCCTGTATTCTCACATCTGTAACTATGTTCTGTCGCGGTTGATGGTTAGTTACATCAGTGTCTTCAAGGACTGTTCAAGCCAGGAGGCGCTGTATGGGTCCTAAACGAGAGGACTATTCTCAACGTCCGCGTTGCTGGCCAGCCTTCTTCCAGATCTGGGTGGAGATTCGAGGATGGCGACAGCAACTCGATCCCAGGAGGAGGATCGCGAGTTTAGTCAGCGGCGAGGGTCCATTGTTGAGGTCTCGGTTGATGATTGGCAGGAAAACGTGTAAACTCGCGAGCAGTTTGCGCGTCTCTGTATGAATGTTGAACTTCTTTCGATCCATACGCAGCCAACGGTGCAAATCGGAGGCGCGGGGGAAGGACAACAAACTAAGCACAAAAAGCAGTTCCAAAAAGCAGTCTCTGTGGATATTTGGTGGCAAAATGTTCGCCAGAATCGGGATTGGCGGCGTTTTCAGTGTTCTGGTTATTGAAGCACACAAATTGAGTGAAAACATGAAAATAAATTATTAACTATGGAAGTCTCTAAAACCTCAAGGGTACTTCCCGACAGGGTGAAAAGCTGAAATTTGGTTCATAGGTAGCTTTTAGGACAGAACCCACAGGAAACATCTGAAAATCCGAGATTTTTGTCATTTTAAGTCCCCCAAAACTGGATTTTAAGTGCCCCATGAACATGTTTGTACGTTTCATTCATAAACCGTTCAAAATATTAAATATTGCGGGGTTTTTTCTTCATTTTATAGAGCCTTAAACAGCAAATACAATTAAATCGAGACACATTGATCGATCTTCTAATGTTTTTTAGATATTTCGGATTCAAGCGGTTTTGAACGAAAAAAATACACGTTGTATGATATTCAAATCTTAATTATTCGAAAACGGTAAAAGATAGGAGCTTCCCCTCAGAATATTAAGTTAATTAATTTTTGTTCTTTCTAATAAAGGAATGAAATCTTAAAATTGAGCGGTTTCCGATAGATACGTCTTTAATTATAAGCCGTTGAATCAAATCAACAATTTGTATTTTTTGATGGAAAAATATACATTTTTGTAGTAGTTATTTTTGGTTCTTTCAGTAAAGTGACGCAGAAGGGAAATCATAAAAATAAAAAAAATACAATTCTCGACGTTTCGATTGCAACACAAGCAATCATCATCAGGTGTGAAAACCACAGCAAGAAAATGTATTGTTTTATTTTTATTATTTTATTATTTCCCTTCTGCGTGACTTTACCGAAATAACCAAGAATATTAATCTCTGCAGTCACGAAAGCTTTAAATCGAAATTTTTGTAGTTGTTAGTGTCTGATCGTAGATTTTAAAAAGGTGAAAAATCATATAATGTTAATTATTATATTGATTTAATTACCTTCGCCTGGTGAAGACAAGCTTCATGAACGAGTTTTAATATAAAATCCAATGTGGCAAGGACCCTCCTAAAGAGAGTCCTTAGACTCAGTTATGGCTTTCCTGGACAAGTAATCATTATATTATTAAATGTCAGAGCTTACATCATTTAGGTGTTCATACACTCCATTTTAATTAAGCAAATTTTATGACTTTATCTAATTAATGAGAACTTTCGTGTGTATTTTTTGACCATACTCACCATTTCTTCACGAGGAATTGGCAATTTGCATTATAATTTCTTCACGCCTTAACAGCTTGGGGCTTGTTTTTCCTTAAATTAGCCGTTAATGCTCGTTATGCATGTATTTTCTTAGCTACGCTGTATGAATACACTGCACTTCATTGAACTGGGCGAAGCCCATCAGGCTACCTGATGTTGTGCAAGTGGCACTCGAGCAACAACACCCCATGCACACACGCGGGTTACAGGTTCTCCCCTAATTCAGAACCAAACTCCGCTGGATCCCGGCATGGCCTGCAGCCGCGTCTCACTGCGCCTGAACCCAGTCCAGTGAGAATGGCTCCAGTGCCAGGCTGCACTCAAGAAGTCCACTGTGGCTTCACAAGAGAGGGCCTTTCATGTCATGGAATTTTGCGAGTGCAGCTGACGTCGTTGTGCTATTCCTTGGCCAATTACTTGTTCTGGGGACCAAAAATTGCACATAGAGCTCTTCACTGAGCACGTATATGTTCGCAAACGTTACATAATTATAATCAAAGCTTCTATGTAGGGCTGTGTGCAGCCACTGGCATGTTGCGCTCTGTTTGGAGTGCTGTCCCGCAAACTCTGAGAAAGGTGCTGGCCTATGACTAAATAGAACTATAATGCACTGGCAGTGGTCATCATCGTCCGCCATGGACTATCCACTGCTGGATGCAGGTTTCCCCAAGCCGTCGGCTTCCGTCGTATTCTTGCAACGCAATGATTCATTGGCTTCCTCGAGCCGATTTCATCACTCCATGGGCACTCTCTCTGGCGCTTCCTCGCCGCCATCCCTTCCAGCGACATGTCCTGAGCAAGCCCGTCTTTACTTTTCTTCACAATCAATGTGATGTATCTAACTTTACATCTTCTCTAACCTGTGCTCCTGTCTCCTGAGTGTCATTGCATGCACGCTTATCTCCATGCACCTTTCAGTTTATGTTCCATTGTAAATGTCCATGTTCCTGATCCACATGTCACAGCAGGTAATATAAGTTACGAATTAACGCTGCCTTACATTTTAATTTGCTATAGTTTTGGACAATGGTCTTTCTCAGAAAGCGTTGGTATAGGATAGGAAAAAAGATGGTCTGATGCGGTACAGGAGGATGTGGAGCTGAGTTGACTTGCCGAAGACTGGTGTGAGCGGTGTCAAGATCGGCCTCTGTGGAGGAGGCTCGTGAAGGATACTACTGGACAGTTGGAGGCAGTCGCCCTCCAACAACAACGGAGGGCGGAGGAGCGACGCTCACAAAGAGCGGAGCACCGGGCGGATAAAATGGAGTGGGTTGGCACAGTCGGGGGTAAAGCTAGTGCATCTGTCAGTCATCTCAGTCAGCCAACTCATAGCACCTGGGTGTGTCCCTTGACCTCCTGTCAGCGAGCCTTCAACGTGCACCCGGGCCTGGCACAGGCACCGTGGCGATGTCACCGCCACTTAGTGGCGAATGGTGGCTCTTGTTGTTGTTGGGATAAGTGGCATAAACGAGAGTGCGTTCATATATATAGACAGAGAGAGAGAGAGAGCTCAAGGACGGCCCTAACGTTGCTCGGTGACCCGTGCCAGCAGCAGTTGGCAGTACCAATCAGGCGTTGACAACATTCGAATGTATTCTAGATTTGAAGCTTTCGTGACTGCAAGGATTCATACTCTTAGGTTTTTTCGGTAAAGTCACGTAGGTAAAAAAATAAAATAAAAAATTACTAAAAGTAATAATAGAAATAAAATAATAAATCATGGCGAAAATAATTAATTATATGCACCCACGATTCCTAATGTTTCCTCTGAAACGTCGTGATTTATTATTTTATTTCTATTATTACTTTTAGTAAATTTTTATTTTATTTTTGTTACCTACGTGACTTTACCGAAAAAACCTAAGAGTATAAAATTTGAATGTTTGCACAACGTGCAGTCCATACACAAATAGGCCGACCAAACAGACGACAGTTTGGGTGCAACGTTTATTCAAGAGAAGACACGCGGATGGGAGCATGGGAATAACGCGAATCGATCAAGTTTACAATTAAGATTGTAAAATAATTAATTATATGCACCCACGATTCCTAATGTGAGGGACAAAGCAACCTCCCCACTCCGCCAATGCGGGCGAGGTTTAATCTCTCATATACAACAAACCTGAAATAACGTTGTACATAATCGGCTCCATGTTTAATCTGAGAGGCAGCTGGTTCAATTTACTCGAGAAACTTGGGAGGAAAGAAAACACAGTGAGGTGTTTATCCACCAACACGATTCAATAGCTGTTTGTCCTGACAGTTATCTGTGCCCCGTGCATCTCGTTTGCAGTCTCCGTTTTGTTTATCTGCAATGTCGTCTACTGTCCCGCTATAAGCCTCAACTTTTTTTGTGCTCTCATAACATTCAAGTGAAGTGAAAATGATAAGACTTTTACATGCACAATTGAACACGCGCATCATCAGCGCACGCAAAGATTTTGATAGGAGATCCGTTAAATTATCTTTGGTTTCGCAATACCGTCACCACGAGTCTGGCAAGGCTGCTGAGCTAAAACAAACTGCAGTCAACGAGATTTGATACTTGTAGAAATATCTCTTTGCATATTTTTTTTTTTACAAACGCTGCCATGACCTTCAAACGGTTTGTGAACAGGCAAATACGGCACAAATGCAGTCATCACATTTACGGAAGGCCACAGTTAAACGTGGGGACGCACATACTTGTTAGATACCAACACTTTTAAAAATTAATAAATGAATTACTTTAAACTGCTACTTTTGAACGTGCGAACTAACAACAATTTGCTATCTTATTGCATACCCACGCGTGCAGAAAATTATATACACTCACTGGGTGGTGAAGGTTTAATGAAGGTGGGAAGGATGCACGTGGGGATATGGAAACAGAGTAACGCTGTCCTGTAAAGCAGCGGTTCCCAGCCTTTCCGAGTGTGCGGACCCCTTTTCAAC